GGAGCAGGAACACGCTCAGAGCGGCTCACAGACGCAGCACAGTGGGCATGTGTGACAGGGAAGTATTTAGTGACGGTGCAAGGTCAGAGCTGTTATCCACGTCTGTGCTGCTGCCTCCTGCTGACAGCAGAGTGGCAGCTGATGTCATCCTCGCTGTCACTCTTCAGCTTGTCTGTCAGCCTCATGCCTTCACCGTCACATCGGATAAATCTAAACACTGCTGACTCCTATTTTACTAAAATGTATCTTACAGTGTCTGTGGAATCGTCATCACTCTGGTCATTGGTATTCAGCACCAGATTGGTCTCTACTGGCCGAGTATGAACACACACACAGGGTTTTTTTTTGGTTAGGCTCTTCAGCTGTTGAAAAAAATAAAATAATGTAAAACAACACAATCATTCAGTCTCACACAGTCATTCAGTCTCACTGCCTTCATGGGTGGTTCAGTCAAGAAGATTTGGAGATTTGTTAACATCAGGGATGAAGACAGAAGAAAGGTCTACTGTACGATCCTACAGATATAAGTTAATAAAACTGTTATTCTATTGACTGAAACACAGATATAGTGCTACAAAATTACAGAAAAAACTTTACTCAGTGGAAAGCAGAAGACTATTTTAAATTTAAAGGCGCTATTGGAGTAAACGCTCTGCTCACTTTCTGTTCAGACTTTACTCAGTGGAAAGAAGACTATTTTCAATTTTAAGGCGCTATTGGAGTAAAAGCTCTGCTCACTTTCTGTTCGGCTAGTTGCATTTACCATGCAGAAAATGTAGTTTTATTTGTCTGTTTTATTTTAATATTATTTTCTAACTTTTCTTAGGACACTATATTAACATAAGGATTACTACACAGATTGTGGTTTGTTCATTAATAGGCGTACCATTGTTAAAAGCAAATCAAAATGTTACTGTTTTTCTTCAGAAACAAAATTCCCTGTTGATGTTCAGGTAAACGACGTTCGCCGTTGATCCAGAAAAAAAATCCAGAATATTTTAGGTGAGGAATCTTAATTAACAAAGATTACAAAATCTGTCCTCAGAGTGTGGTGACGCACGCACATCATCAAATGCATTAAACTCATTTCCTTTTCCACAGAAAATGACGTACTTCAGCTGAATGACGGTGAAATGAAAAAGAAGTTTCACAGTGAGAACGATCCATTCCAGTAGGTGGTAAAGAAAATAAAAGTGCATTTGATGAAATCACTTACTCATGCACAGCTGTATTTACCCCTGGAACTGTTTATTCTCACAGTTTACAGCTCCATACGTCCCTCCACCCAGCATAAAAGCTACACCTGTTCATCACGTTGCGCACTTTTTACATTTGACCTTTTGCGAGTGTTAATACCGACAAATTCACTCTGACTGAGAACAAAGACAAATCCACTGCAGTCACTTATTATACCTTACGTAAGAGAGGCACCGAAGAGAGACGGCTCCCCAGAGACAGAGGAGCTTTTCCACTGTATTAAATATCCAGTCTGTCTGAAAATAGATGGAAAGATTAGCGGTGACTCACTAACATTCTTTGTATCCGATGCCACAGTTTTGACCGTGTGCTGGTATTTTGTATCCCTTTAACTGTAAACAGGATGAAGACGTCCCTAATGTGACTCAGTTTGGAATTTTTATTTACACATTTAAGGATCTGGATCTAATAAAGACGCATTGTTACGGAGTCATTTCTATGGTCTTGGGAAATTTCTGCATCAGTTTTGACTGGGCCAGATGTGTGGGCTACATCACACCAGGAAGTGACACATTCTATATTGTGGCTGGGAATTTTGCAGCAGATTAGTGCACACTTCCAGTAAAAGTCTGAATAACATTTACTTAAATTGCTGAGCAAAAGCACTCACTTTAATCATCAGAGATTAAGATCTTAAATCTGCCGCAGTGTCTAAAATCATTTTGTTTTTGTCTGCCTCAAAAACTAATGAGTTAATTTCCGTTGCGGAATTGAAATCATTTTTTTGATCAGTCACTCTGCTGCTGGCAATTTTCCCTGATAATTTCTCTGTGAGATGTGAAACCAGTTGTTGAAAATATCACGAAGAGTTTGATCAACGTCTGCCTGAAATTCAAGATTAAAGTGGTTGTCTTCAGGAGACAGTCAGAAGGTCGTCTTTGTTAAGAACTGAACAGGATAATTGTTGGGGTGAGTGTTTGTGCGTCAGTGAAGGGTCTGTGACCGAGCAAATATAAATTGCCTCTAATCCAGTTATCCACTTAGTAAGTTATTATCCCTGACCTTGGAGCTGGAGATGATACTCTGAGCCAGCTTGAAGAAAAATAGTTGACTGTGGGGAAAAGCAAAAAAAAAAACAGCAGACATGATTCGTTCAAGTGTTTGCTGCTTCAGATAAAATCCGTACCTTTGACACCACGTCAGAAAAATCGACTACACCTTCTTTCATAGATCCATCCTGGTTGGGTGAGTTTCCAACTTAAACTTATTTCCATAGGAGCCGTGATTATATGCAGACAATAACATCTATATGCATCGTTCCACCACTGAAAAACAAACTTGCAGTAGAAGGTACTACATTATTTAAAGGTGTATCTGAAACTAGACACAGATTTCCCAGCCTGGCTGTTTGTTTCAGGACTCGGGAAAAGCCGCCTGTAAAGCCTACGAAATTCAGTCAAAATGCCAAGACCAAACCAGAGACAGATTCAAAATTGTTGGACACCTCTCAGTCTGCAAAAGTCTTCAAGCATTTAGCTATTTACAGTAAACAATGAAGAGCAAACATCCTTTTTTTCACAGAACTTAAATGGAAACCTGTTAATTTTTTTTTTTTTTTAGCTTTGCGTCAGGTTTGGATCGAGCTTTGTCTGATTTTTCTTTTTCTTTTCCCAAAACTGAATTTTGTCTGATCCCAAAACTGAAACGGCACCTGACAAAGAACTTGATTTCAGTCCTTAACGACATCTGACAAAGAACTTGATTTCAGTCCTTAGACCAAGCATAGTATCAGGTTGAACACCGGGGTGATTGACTTAAACATAGGCTACATAGAGGAACAGTTTTGAAAATGTCCTGAATAAAGTCAACTTTTTCACTAACCCTCATGTCACATAGTTTAGTTTGTTTTCTTTTTGTTTATTTTCTTAAAGGGCAGGTGAAGTTCTTGGACTCCCTCTCATGACCTTTAGTCTAATTACAGTCATGTTTTGGCATCACAAGTGGGGTGTTTGTTTATGTGTGTGGGAGAGGGTAAATACTTTAATCTGTTGCCTCCTGATTCAGGAAAGACGGACAAAATCAATCGAACCTGTGTGGAAGAAATCAATATTCTTTAGGAGCCAAACACAGGGGAAAATCAGTCCAGGAAGCAGGACGTGCATAAAATCAAGCCATCTGTGTTTCCTGTTGAGAAATCTGAAACTAACAATAAAGCTCATTCGACTGAATGACCCCTAGGAGATGTTATGAGACAAAATATATATATTACACATTTTTAGCCAAAGGACTGCCTAAGAAAGAGCTAAAAAATTGTCAGGTGGGTCCTGAAATAGCTTTAAAAAAATTGTTTCGATGTGTTTCAGCAACAAAGTCCAGAGTAGAAAAACTGACTGTCTTTATTTTATTTTCACAATGGACTGCAATATTTAAAAAACCCACCTATCATTTTAGCAAGGTGAAAACATATTACATGCAAAAATCCCTATCCAAATAAAAAATATAAATATATATGTATGGAAACTGTACTGTATATACACAATTAAGTACCATGTAAACTTCTATTTATTCTAGTCAGTAGTTCTGTTAGAAAGCATGTTACATAAAGGTCGTGTTTTTTTCCCCTCCTTTTTTCTGTCTGTTCTCCGGTTTGTGTTTTTCTTCATCTTTCAATGCCATAGAATGTCAAAGTATCTGGTTGCAAAGGTAAGGCCCTACCTCGAGTCCTACTAATATGGGTTTTGAACTGCACTATCAATAAAACTATCGGGTAATTCGCCAACGCAGGTTATAGCCTTCGTTTTCATCATAATTGTAAATTGTACTATACTGCAAATAGGTTAATAATGAATTTCAATTATCATTTTAAATTAGCCAAAAGGCAATTTAAAGGTTCTTAATTGAGGAAATATAAAAAAGCTATGCATAAAGTTGGCCAAAATATTAAAGGCACTTTAAGGTTAACAATGTGTTGCACTATTTTTAGCCAAAAACTACTAAAAAAACTAAACATCATCGATTCTTTGATTACTATAAATAATATAACCAAATAAATATTATAACTACACTTTAACTCAAACTCAGCTAGGTTGTTAGCCAAAGCTTTGAAATTACTTTAACATGTACTAAGTTAGCTTTAAAAAAAAGGCAATTACATCAAATGATCACTATAAAATTTTAATACTACCGTAACAGACTAACTAATGTGTTAGTGATTATGTGACGCTGACAAACAAAGTAAAAACTAGCAAAAGGATTAGCAAAAAGCTAATTTAAAAACATATTTACATTTAAAAAACATAGCTCAAAGTTAGCCATAAGATATCTTTAAATTACAGCTGGAAGGGTACAAAGACCTTCAGCAGCTACCTTCTGTTTACTCCTAGGACTTCCATTTGAAACCAGATAATTCCATCCATTTCTCCCAGACAGTCTCTGGCACTGACTCTCTTTACATTCACTCTTTGTCTGAGTAAAGGTCTGTGATTCTCCACTGGTGTGCCTCTGTTGTACTGTGTAACTGGCATTTAATATACTTCTCTCCGACACTGCCTTGTACCTTTAGTACATCTATTAAAAACGCTATTAAAATAAAGTATTGTGCAGTTCAAGATATGTGACGTACAAAATTTCAAAATAGTAAAAACTAAAATTCTAAATGTGCAAATCTGCTGTAGCAATGGTTTCTGTGTTGTGTTGTGGGCTACGGTTATTGTCTTCAAGTCAGTGCAATATGAGCTCATAAAGAAACACTGGCGTAAAAGATGCGCCGTGTTCTAGAGCAGCAGCTGGTCTTATCATGAGAGGAGCTGAACTATCTCCATCATAGCGTTATCATCTCAATAACGTCTTCCTCCTCTGGATTACCCCACGGCTCTTCGTGTGCGAGGAAACTCTCTCCTCCGCTGAGGATATCATAAGGAAGTGGATAACTGGAATTCTGAGGCTTACCTACTTTATTAGATGAGCCGTCCTCTTGGTTTTGCGTGCCGCTCGCCTCTGCTTTTACGACTATTTGCCTTGTCGTGCTGCATGTGGTAGAGTCCGCCTTTCTGTTGTTGCTTTGTTGATTGGTCTGCACCAAGATGGTCCTGGTGGGAGTCTCTGCAGCTCTGTTACCATTCACCTGACTTGGCTGCACAGACAGGCTCCTGGTCTGAGCTTCTGCCGCTCTGGTACTGTTCGACTGACTTGAAAGCACAGTCAGGTTTCTTGCCTGAGCTTGTGCCTCGGAGTCCTTGGCTCTGACCTTCTCAACCAGTTGTAGATATCGAGATTCAAAGAGCTGCTCTCTTATGGACTTTTCTGTTGGCGGCATGACTGATGTCATGGGGACCTGGGTAGGATGCGATGGACAGATGTATCCCTTATAGATGAGGCTGCTGTTCGGTCCATTGTTTGTATAAACTGCAATGCTGTTTGGGTGTGATGGGGGCTTAGGACCCCGGTGAACTGGTAGGACTTCCCATTGCGGTGGCAGCTGACACAACACAAATTTTTGTGTGATTCTTGTGTCTGTAAGGAAAAGGAAAAAGAAAACATGAACCCCCTGGTGGTTAAATAATCCTCCAAGCAAATGTTTTCATAATGTTTGCAAATCAGCAAACATCAGATTATAATCGAAAGACATTTTGATTGATTTACTTGATTACTGTCTGATGTTACACAGTGTATACGACATTGTTTGTTGATGCTGGTTGATTATACCACTAACCAAGTTCTTTAAACCTTGATCTTGAAATTAGTTGGTGTCAAGTCCCAACAAAAATGAAATGAAACGTCCAGGTCTGGCCTTTTAGAGTCAACTGCCTTGACTTCAAGGTATATGTTAGATGTAAGTCAGATCTGGTCCACAGTATGTATCAAAATGTCGTATTTATTGTCTACAAATAAATAAATAAATTCTTCACGCTGTTGTTTTTTTTTGTTGTTGTTTAAACTTTATGTTTTTGTTACTTCATTCATGTTTCATGTTTGTGTACACATTGTTCACTTCTTTTGTTTATTAGTCAACGTGGTTAAATATCTGCTAACCTTTTGAGTAAGTGCTTTCTTGGATCATGGCTGTGAAATTAGTTTTGCTGCAAAACTCAATGCATACAGTTGAGCACGAGGTTTGGACATTGATTTCTTTAGGTTGGTATTTTATGGGTAAATGATGTCTTCCTTCTGTGAGAGTCTGCGGTGGCATTTAACATCCCTAATGTGTTACTACCGCCGATGAAAGGCCTTCGTTTTGTCAGATGAAAGCCCCCAGTGGGTGATGTCACCTTTTACCTGAATGTCTCTGCTACACTGGTGGGATGGAAGACCACCACTGTGGATATGTCGGCATTCTCAGCTCTTTGAGTCTGTCAAGATACTTATTTATTTTTATAGACTTTTTAATTTTAGTTAGTTTCTCTCTCCTGAACTCTACATGTTTTACTGTGGTTCTGTTTAAGATCCATTATTTTAGTTATAGTTTCTCTCTCCTGAACTCTACAGGTTTTACTGTGGTTCTGTTTAAGATCCAACCCATGAGGTTGTTTTAATTGGTCGACTTTTCAAATGTCATTAATAAATGCTTGTTGTGATCATCCCTTGCTTTCCACCAGCACGTTTAACTTAGATCAGCCAAATTCTGAAAGACCACTGAACATGGTAGTATAGGTAAACTCGACATGTCTACACATTGAAATATTCAGATAAGCTTGACATTTCAAGATGGGTCCTTAATGATTTTGAAGAAGTCTACAGTGAGGTAAACTGACTCTGACTCCGACTATAACACTCTCTATAGGTCAACCAAAGAAACAAGGTCTACAGTAGCAGATAAGACAAAGTACTTGCTCACTTTCCTTAAAAAAGGAGGACATCAAGCAGCAGCACACTTCACTAGCCAAAACCCAGGAGCAGCAACCAGTTACTTCTAATCCTGAAGTCTGGGCAGATGTGCTGTTAATGGAGGAACTGCAGCCCTGGAGTCAAACCTCTGTCATCCAAAAAAAAAAAACAACTTCAACTGCAGTAAGCAAAAATATATTTACAAACCAGGTGCAGAAAAAAGAGTCTCTAGGCTAAATATTTGAAATTTAAAATATCTGTCTGCAGGGAAAGGTTTGTTATCTAAAGGAATGGACAACAGCATGGTAACGAGAGTCTGCAGGCAGCAAAGCAAGGCACAGGTTCTCTGAAAGTTTGGAGTCGATTTTCTGCAAATGTATGAATGACATATTTAACGTGGAGAAATATGCAGATGTGCATCAATGTTGACATTAAATCGTTGAACCAAAATTTGTTCTGCAACAGAACCACAAACCCAAATGAAGCCTTAGCTGTTATTAAATCGTTGAACCAAAATTGAAGAAAACCCACAAACCCAAATGAAGCCTTAGCTGTAAGGGAAACGTTTGAACCACTGTCCACACAGTACCCAGGGGATCTGAAGTTAGCTGCTAGCTGTAGCTGCTGTACATGTTTGGAACATCCTACCTGCTAAATTCCTTCAACACTGTCTGCCAGTGTATCCAGAAGAACTGACTGTGTACTTTAAGATAATCACAACAGATAAATTTAATCCAGAGTTCTGTTGATTAAACACTTTATTTGTTTGTTTTGCGGCTTATTATAGTTGTTGTGTTTTTTCATGAAGATGTATAAACAAGTTTTAGAATTTGTAAGTAAAAACGTTTGCCAACCATGTGTAGTTTCACCTCTTTCGTTCATATTGTACATATACAGATATTCCTCCAGTTGTCATCTTCGCTGTTTTAGTTGTCAGTATTTATTTATTAGCGTACAGGTATGTGGGCCATCGATGTCCGTAATACAACGTTGCTGCTCCAGTTTGAAAGGTTCGTGCTGACTCAGATGAAAGCCTTTGGTGGGTGATGTCACTTGAAACCAACATGTCTCTACAGGAGTGACTGCAGTTGTTTTAAATAACTTCAGTTAGTTTTTAAATTTCCTGAAATCGTGCAAGTTTCCATGTACATTTACTTTGGTATTATACTGTATGTTTGTATTAGGTAATGATATTGATACTATTAAGACTGTAGTGTATAAGTATGGCGATAATATTTTTATACAACATGATAAAGGAAAAAAAATATACAAAAGATAAAATATATGTGGTGATGGAAAAATGTATGACTTGTTTTATCAAGATAACCTTAGATGATTAAAACAATACTATAACTATCCATCCATCCATCCATCCATCCCTTTTCATCCGCTTATCCGCAGTCGCCACCCAAATCACATTGCACTGTACCAACCCCCCTAAACCTTCCTGCGGGTGGTGAGTCCACTGGAAGACTATAACTATAAGTGACTTATTATTCCTCTGGTGTGGTTCTGTATATTTACCTCTTTCGTTCATGGTTGGGGTTCATGGTTGTGGTACATGGTTGGGTTTTGTACTTTTGTTTGCTTGATCGTTTAAGGCAGTCATCATATTTATTAATTTTATTCTTCTGAGGAGCTGAAGCGTTGTTAGCGTCCATATTGTTACATACATTGCTACGTCCTAGGTTGAAAGGCTTCTGTGGCTCCACATTAAAGTCCTCAGTTGGATGATGTCACTTTATCCCTGCACTTCTGTAGTAGAGTGATGGGGACAGAAGTCTGTCCTGGTGGTGTACTGTGGGTGGAGTGGGAAGGTGAAGATGTAGGAGAACAGCTGTTTGTTGCATCACTACTGGTGGAGCTGATGGGTCTGTGGATGTGTGCTGTGTCAGGATGGTGTCCATCACTGTCAGCTGCCACGTTGGGTGAGGAGTTTTTAGGCAATTTAATCGTTTTCTATTTTTGATTATTTGGTTAGATGTTAGATTTGAAACCCAACAGCACTTTTCAAAATAATATTTTCAGACCCAAATACCGACTGAATATAGTCTAAAAAGTTTTCAGACCTAAATACCGACTGAATATAGTCTAAAAAGTGTTTTATTTTGAAATTGTACAAATCCTTAATGATCCTTTAACGGTCGGTTCTGTGCAAACTATCCACTTTACCAGCTGGTACTAGGTACCAAAAAGGTTGGTGACAACTCCTGTAGAGGTCATAGCAGTCAGTACTGTGTCGATAATGTATCACTTCCCCCTGTTTACCTTAATAATATTTTCAAGCTTGTTTCCTCCACATCTTGATAAAAGATCTCTGAAGTCTGACAGACAACTACTTTGTCTACAGTTGGATTTTCTCTGGGCTTGATGTGTACTTCTATACCGTTGGTTTCATAGTTAATGTTGTGCCAAGGCAGCTTCCATTCCCAATATCCCATCTGTCCCTCCCTCAGCCTTCTTCAATCAAAGGCTTTGTTGCCTCACATAAAAGGTCTTTGCAGGTGATGTAACTCTGAACCCGCATGTTTCTGCTGGAGGCATGGACAGAGTGATTGTCAACATTTGGAATTAGACAGCTTTGTGAGGAAGCGCTTATTTGTGGATATAGAGTTGAGCACAATGATCCTTCGCAACCCAGTAAAAAAAAAGACCAGTGAAATAATCAAACTTGAACTGAAATCATTAAACAGTTTTTAAGATAAATGAGCAACCACAAAAAGGACAGCAGAGAAAGCCAGAAACTACAGTACACACACACAAAAGGAGAACATTTTCTAAACCTCTGTTGTTTTCATGGGTGGAGGCCAAAGGATTTCAACACGAATACTTCCTGACATCCAGATTTTAGGCTTCAAAACTAAAAATTCTGTTGACATTAAGGGCCTTTTCTTGAGGTCCACCCAAAGTGGTGCAAATGTCAGGTCAAGTAAATGTTATGGTATTGTTGGGTATCAGTGATGCATCAGTCAGAACAATGTTGAACAGACTATTTACAACTAGTTTATTGGTGTTTTTTCAGCGCATCGTTCATTTGGTATCTTGTAACCGCTTTGATGTAAAGTTTAGTGTCTTTGATCTTTTCCACTCTTTTGTCCTAATAATGATTCAGAACTCCATTTCCATTCGCCCTCCGGTAAATACTGGACCTGTATGAGAACACGCTGACGGACAGACGGGACTTGATGAAATGTATCTTGATTTAAAGTCTGTTAGTAAGTTCTGTTTCACATCTACCTGTACTGGTCTGGACCTTCACTTCTAGTTCAGCACATATACACTTTTGTGTTTTTAAAAGCAGTAGACCAAAGGACTTTAGTGTATGACTCACATGGCAAAAGTCCAGCCACAGCATCCATTTATTCTGTGTCAGCAGGTGTGCGTCTACACTGCATACAAGCTTTTATTCAATTTGCTCAACCTTGTCCTTGTTGGTTTTCCTTCAAGTTGCCCCACTGCCCCCCATTCGGTCCACCAGACGGTGCCACATCTCCTTACAGCGCCGATAACAACTCCACATTCTTCCTGAAGTTACATTTCATGCTAATAAATTAATGCAACCCTTACCCACTTTCAACTGCCGAAAATGTGCTCTTCTGCCGTGCTAAAATGGAAAATCAAATCAGTCATGTCATTTGCAGCTGATTTGTAAAGGTCCTAGCTCACTTTCTATCTTTTCCCTCCGGCGTGGATGATGAGACAGCACAGCTGTGTCCCTGCCAGAGACTCTGATAACACCAAATTAAATGCCGTCTGAGAGAGTAGGCCGGTTAATACAGAACCACAACTATCAGGCTGACGCAGATCAATATATTAAATGCTGTATAAATTTGCCATCCACCGCCGTCACACCGGTACATCACAAATGAACTGGCACCACTGACACGTCGGGGAGAAATCTGGAATTGTTGAAATGTTAAGAGGTATGACTCGGCATTTTATAAACAGAGAAGAAAGTGCCTATGGCTGAACTGACAGAAGAAAAACACCAAACAATGTGGAACTTAGTAAAGGCCCCGTGCAGGCAAATGAGAAATGACATTTAACAGCTAATATATGGAATAATTTCAATTACTGTGCAGCAAGAACATCACATGCCGTAACCCCTGATGGAACTGATCTCGTTTTCTGGTCTGGAGTCTCAATGTTCTTCCTATGTGTATGCATCAGGCATAATCTGTTCACTCTAGATTCAATGTTCTTCCTGTGTGGACGCAGCATCAGGCATAATCTGTTCACTCTAGACTGGATACAGGTGTGAATGTGAATGACTGCTTGTCTCTAGCTTGACTACTCATGAGTAAGTACCTGAGTAAACATGTGATGTGATGTTGTACTTTTGCCTGATGAGTGAATGTTTAAGGTCATTAAATGTCATTATTTTTTCTACATACTGAGATTGAACAAAGGTACCAGTAGTGTTTTAGTAGTGAAAGACTCTGTTTAAATACATGTCAGAAAGCTGCTGCAAAATAGATGTGATGTGGCAGAAGGAGAGGGCTTTGGTGATTTCAACTTTAAGCTTTTTTTCAGCAATCTTAAGACTTTCACTTCTCCTTGATCTGGTCAGACAGAAAACCCAGACTTTATAAACGGCATCACTGACTGTTTCCAGTTTGTGTTTGCTCTGATCTTATCTGATGATTATTTGATGATGCATCAGGAGTCTGACATCCTCTGACAAAAATGTGAATTTTTGGTACAAGAAAAAGATTCTGATGTTTCTTTTTTCATGTCTCTCCTTCTGCATTAAAATATATTATTGGTAGAAAAGAGAAAAAGTCAATAAGCAGACGATGACTGTGGCTTTATTTTGTGTTATCTGTTGAAGTGGCCGAGATAGGATAGATTAAATTTGCCTGTTTGGTGTTCTTTTCTACA